CTCCACCTCAAGTTGATGTCACTCCTCATATCTGGTGACCTCAGTCACTGCATTCCTCTCAAGTCTAGGATCTCCACTGTCCTCCACCTCAAGTCAGATGTGACTCTTCGTATCTGGTGACCTGAACTAAATGGTAAAGTGAATCACTACCAGCTCCTCCTGAAATCGCAGGGAAATGCCACCTCACCCCCATGAGGGTGGCTTTAGTCCTGGCCTTTCCCCTGCTCTGTCTGGATTACAGGGGGACTGGCCTTCAGTCGGCGATCCCTGGGCTCTTGGGGTGCTCGCCTCTCAGCAGGGTCAGCAACTGGAAGCAGTCGTGGGTGATTCGGGGAGAGAGAGCAGCGAGTCTGAGTGTGTATATTATGTGACCAAATATAGCAGTTCTGCAAATCAGTCACTTAGGAACTATTTGTGATGTTTCTCTCAGAAGTGCATTTAGCCTGCTGAAATGCAGATTTTTATTTTTTTTGCCTTCTTAAGATTTCAGAGGATAACAGAATTATTTAAAGACTAAATGGGGACAGTTTTAGGCATCTTTGGCAAAATTCTCTTAAATGAATTCTTGTCAGATAGACCTCTTTAAAGATATGATTGTGTGGTAAAATTAAGTTAAACAGGTTTTACGCTCTTGGCATAATTCTCTTAAATGAAGTCTTGTCAGAGAGACCTCTTTAAAGATTATAATTGTGTGGGAAAATTAAACTTAGCAGATTTACCATAGTCTTCAGTTTCATTGGCTCCTATGTGAGCATGTTGGCCTACTGATGGTGACAGTGACTCCTCACATGGGACTCAGAGGTACCCACAGCAAACAAGTCTCTGTTTGGCTGTGTCAGGTAATCTTTGGGCAATTACTGAGCACCTGTCACTTTATTTCGCAAGCTAGTGATCATCCTGTTACCCATTTCACTCAAAAATATGTAATGTCTTCGTTAAATACTGTGCTTTCCTAATAAGCAGATGATAAAAAAATAAAAAGAAAGAGAAACAGCCTCGGCCCAGATGCTGAGGGTGGTCAGGGGGCAGGCAGCAAGCCCCTCGCAGTGGCCACTGGCCACGTCCTGAGGCTGCGGCCCAAGCAGCCTCCAGACCAAGCACCGTTGCTCCCAGCTCCGCCCCAGTGGCTGTCATGCACCCATCTTCCCGTTTCCCCTGGTGAAGTCTTCATGTGTCCATTTGAAGGGTTTTCTCATTTGTGGTAGGGTTTCCAGTTTTTGTTTTTAATTACAAAGTGAACATGTTCTTTGGAGAAAATGTAGAAAATATGGAGAAGCACAAAGGACAGTGATCCAGTCGCACAGTTAACATTTTGGTATATAGGTATTCAGCCTGTTTTCAGTTCATATATAATTAGTTTTTGTAAATATTATGTGGTGCATTCAGTTTTATAACAACTTATTTTACTCAACTGCGTATCATGGCTAAAAATAAACTATATGCAACATTTTCTATGGATCAAGTAATTTCTACTATGTAATTTCTAATGACTGCATACTTTTCCATGCTGTGGATATACCATAATTTATTTAATAAATGAGAGGGTTTAGAAAAAATATCAGTAGTCTAGCAGCTAAAGCCATCCCCTTAAGGTTTTTTAACACATAAAAACCGTCCAGCAGGCTCTTTGACACACACAAATCCTCCAAGGAATGATTTTGTGTGTGAAATGGTTATAGCTGTCAATCATTTATTCTCAGTGTCATGGTTTCGTGCTCCCTCCAGGTTGTTAGGGGGTGATTATGGATTCCTGTCAAATGAGATGTCTGCTATGTATTCAACACGAGGCAGTGGTGTTTCTCTCCATCTACTGCACTCCCTTCAGAGCCGGTTAAGCAGATCTCAGTGAGCCAGAGGGAATGGGCGAGGCATCTGGCGTTGGAAACACACTGCAGACATGCCCAGGGCCCTCAGATCCCCACGCAGCAGATTAGACTTCTACGTAAATACATTTGTCTTGATTGTCACATTCCACCCAGGGTTATACCTCCACGCATAAAAATGGCTCCGAGCCTGGTTTTTAAGCTTTTGCCTCTCCTGTTGCTTTTAACCACCTAGCTCAGAGGCATTTTTTGTGTTATATCTATCAAACATGATTAAGGGGCTGCCGAGAGCAGATATATAAGGACAGATTAAGAAAACTAAGTATTTATAACCAGACTGAGTGACAGCCAAGGGGGGGAAGGTATTGTAACTGTCTGCTGGGCTCAGATCATGGAGGAGACATTGTTTTGCCTTTCCCAGTAACTCGATTTTAGGGAAATCTAATTCAGACAGTTTTCCAAGGATGACATCACTTATGCTAATTAGATAATGGTGTCAGTTAGAAATTACATTTAGCTGCTTGTAGCAGAAACTTGGAATAGCAATGGCTGAGACAAATAAGGTTTCACTTTCCTATGAGATGAAGCCTAGAAGTGCATTGTCTGGGCTGCATTGCAGCTACATGATGTCATTGCCCCCAGGCCTCCTGTCTTTGGCTCTATTATTCTCAGCATTATTTTCATGCTCAAGGTCACCTGATGCCATGGCTGTGGCCCAGTAAGGGAGGAGGCTGAAAAGGTCCTTGCCAACTAAGACTGCTTGAAGGAGCTTTCTTGGAAGCCCACCTACTGACGACTTCAGTTATTTTATTGACCATCACAGCTGCAGGAGGGGCTGGGAAATTGAGTGGCATTTTCTGTTTTGTTTTATTTTGTTTTTAGGTTGGGTACATGCTGACCCCAACAATGTCAGGGTCCTTTACTAAGAAGGCATAGGATAGTGGATATTGCATAGCCAACCAGTGGTTTCTGCCATAGTAATTTACCTCTTAAAGATTTTGAGAAAAGCATGGACTCTGAAACACAGTGACATTTGCTATGATGTTGCACAGTTCCATTTGTAAAGCTAGCCCTTGAGATCTAATTTATTTACTTCTGGTCACTCTTACCTATTTTCATTTATTCATCACAGACACCTCGGGTTGACACTAAATAAACCAGCCATCTCAACAGACTTAATAATTGCTGCAACTTGTTAGCCTCCACCAAGTTCCTCTGTGTTATGCACTGAGGAATATCATCTGAATGGTTTGCTTCAAAACTGTGGCTAATGAACGCCAGCCAGGTGGCTCAGATGGTTAGGGCTTCGACCCGACACACCAAGGTTGCGGGTTCAGTCTCCAGTCAGGGCACGTATAAGAAACAGCCAATGACTGCATAAATAAGTGGGACAATAAATCTCTCTCGCAATCACTCAATAAAATATTTTTTAAATTGTGGATAAGGGGAGATGAAAGAGACTCACTATGAGTTGCTAATGATTGAAGCTGAGCAGTGACCGCATGGAGGTTGATTACACTCTTCTCTCTCCTTTTGTAATTGGAATTTTCCCAGTAAAGATTTTAAACGTCACCTCGTCTACTTAAAGTACTTCCTATGAGGTGGGTGCCATCACCCCTAGCTATTAATGCTCCGGGAGGTTCAGCAGCAGCAGACAGCAAGTAAGTGGCTGACTCAGGATTCAGACCCAGGTTTGCCTGACTTTGAAGTGTGCTCCAGCCCTTACTACTCAAAGGAAGCATGCTCTCCAGTCCAGCAGCCTGAAACTAGTTTGAAATGCAGGCTTCCGGGTCCCACCCCAGGACCTTTCACATGACCCCCAACTCCACTCTAGTTTCTGTGCTCTGTCCACAGCACTGTATCACCTCCGCAGCCATGACTCACCCAACTCAATTATGACTTTTCCTTAAAACTTAAGCTTCTGTTGAAATAAGCCTAACCATGAGTCACTGCTTAGTGGCGTAAACATTTTTAATAAGCATTTAATCCACAGCAGCTCTTTCTTCCGACACTGGGTGCCTGCTGTAGTGCTGGGCTCCAAATGCCTGTTTGTCAGTCAAGCCTCTCTCTGAATATATACATCAGCTCTTACTAATCACTGCTGGCTTGAAACTTAATTTGGTTTGTTCTACTTAAAGTAGAGCTCCTGCTCACTTAAAGCATCTTGAGTTTTAAAAGCCTTGGAGAGGCTTGTATGGAAACTCCAGGTACCGGTTCCCACTTCCACCAGCATGAGCTCTGTTACCCACCTGTGCGTAGCTTTCCCGAAAAGACATGATTTTTCTCCCTGACATCCTCACTCATCATTTCAGTCCTTTCTCTTTTGAAAGAGAGGGAGCTGTGAGTCCCAGCTCTGTCACTTACGTGTCCTGCAGGCAAAGTAGTTAACCTTCTGAGCCTCATTTTCCCATCTGTGCAGTGGCCGTGCCATGCGGTGTCTGGGGTCCCTTCCAACTCATCCTTCTGCCACTCCACGTACCATGATTTTTCAGCCCTCCAAAAACATTATGGACACTGGGCTCTGTGTGAAACCCACCCGACTCTTATTTTTCCAGTCAGTAAAAGGATCCCGGCATTGATTTTTTACTAGGTTTTCTTTCCAAATAATGATGCCTTCATGCTCCCTAGTTTACTTGCCCCAGATCCTATTTTGAATGAATGAATGAATGAATGAATGAATGAATGAATGAATGAGGCCTGCCATCCACCTCAACTGTAATCTGCTCCTTTAAGAGGCCTGGTCCTCTTTGCTTTTGAATACATCAGGTTTTCTAGCTGCCAGATCAACTTGGTGGTTTTATTTACTTCAACAACCTTCAAACAACATACATATTTGACATCCTCAGCTGTTCATCAGTTTCCACAGCAGGAAGGGAAAGCCCCTAAGAGAGCAGGCATGGAGCATCCCTAGGGACCAGCGCTGTGTAGGCGCGGCCATGCTGGCTGCTGTTGAAGGTACAGGCATCAGGTCACTGCCGCTTCTTCCATGGACTCTTTCTCCTACCAGAGTAATTTTAAGCAGGTATATGATCATTTTCTCATAAAATTAAACCTAGGAAAAACAGCGTGCTGTAGTACAGTGATTCTAACAGCATTGCGCTGGACATGTCTTAAAAGGCATTGCCCGCTGCAGTCTTCTCCGTGCTGTATGTGAAGTGTTTCTGGTTTGTTTTGCAGGGCAGCCTTTGGCAAGGAGTCGGAAGTTCTTATTGGGAACCTGGGTGATAAATTAATCCCTCCACAAGACATCCTGCGTGACGTCAGTGACCTCAAAGCCTTGGCCAACATGCACGAGAGCCTGGAATGGTTAGCAGGCCGAACGAAGTCTGCTTTCTCCAATCTTTCTACATCCCAGAGTAAGTAACCAGTCGGGGGACACCTGAGGAACTAGACTGAGTACTTTCATTTGAACTGTGTGTCACCATATGGGGACGTGTCCAGGTTGTCAGATCTGTGCCAGAATTCTGCTTGTGCCGAGCCTCTGGTACTTGGTGATCTGTGAAAGGAAGTGATCTCGGCTTCCCTGTGTGGGGTGTTGGAAGCGCCAAGTGGTCCATGCTAACATAGCTTGAGATGAAACCTTAGAAACAAAACCATGGAAGGCTGAGCCGCTGTGTCTCAGGAACTAACCACAGTACCTTTTGTCCTCACAGCTTCTCAGGGGTAAGGACTGTGTCTCAGAGCACAGAGCTGAGCATGCAGCTGATGTGTTCATTTCAGCAGCTACAAAGTTAATGAAACAGTGTCTAAAAGAGAATAATAGAAGTGATTAAGGTGCTAGAAAATAGAGAATATGAGAAAATAGTTACTCTGGAAAAGGGATGGTTGAGAGATACCTTAATTATAGATTTCAAGTAAATTAAGGAATAGAATATGAAATAAAAGTGTGAAACTCCTTTTTCTATCAAGAACCAATGACTCAGAGAAAAAGAATTTGAAAACGTTAGGGCACATAAACTTTATTCAGTAACTATGAAATAAATACTTTTTAAAGGCATTAGTTCAAAAGTATTTGTTAGGCAGTTATAATAGAGGCAAAGGAAAACTGAGATGAAGAAGGAATAAAGGAGATGGCAGATTTGAATGCATAAATGGGGAGACAGAAACAGGGTAGAAAAAGCAAAATAACAGCAAGAACATGAAAGAAACAGAATCCGCTCTGAAGTTAGTATTAGTATTAAACATTCGAAGATTATTGGAAGGAAAATGCTTCATTATTTGGAATGTGAACTTCAGAGTAAATCATTTTTCATTGTCTTTTGAAAAGTTATTATTACTTGATTAACAATCATTTCCAGTGATTAAGAAGGAAGAGATGTAGATGAAATTCATGGGGATAAATTATTTGGAAATCCAGGCCCCCATAGGCAGAGTCTAGGGCCCTGGGATGCTCACTTCTTAGGATCTCATGCTGATTGTGCATCTATCTTGAAGGTCAACAGAAGGAGGGGGGCTTTTGAGCAAGATTGTATAATTTGTTTTAAAATCTTCTTAAAATATCTCTTTATTTATACTTTTTTATTATTTTAAATATTACTTTTTATTTGTTCATAAAACTATACATGTTTATTCCAGGAATCTATAAAAACAGAAAATATATGCACCTGTTAATAGTCTGAGCAGACTATGCATAAGTAGGTCTCCTTGAAAGACCCTCAACTTCATAATCCCGTCGTATCAGGCACTCTGTCACAGCAGTAGTCTAAACTATCCATTTTATCTCCCAGGGCCACCTCACTTTACCAAGAAAAAAAGTCGGAAATAGCTAATTTCCCTTTTGCTAACTGCAAAATAAGCAGCTCTGGAAAGGGACCAGATGCCTCTTTTCCTGATTTCCTTTGATTCCTGCAAATGCAGGGCTGCTTGGGGAGGTTTACTAGTGATCATAAGATGGTGTCCTTTCATTGGGTGACCTTCGACGTCTAATATTTGTGATGTAGTATCTTATTTCCAGTGACACAGCATTCCAGAATTCTGTTCTGTCCATTCTGAGAGGGCTCCTTGGGCAAGGTGGTCCACAGCCTCCGTAGCAAGCCATTGGGTGGCTCAGACAGGTAACCTGCATCAGCTGTTTTCAGAAAGAGAGAAACTCTCAGAATTGTGCTCAGCTTTGTCATTGTGCAGTTTAGCTGTTCTCCTGTCACCAGGAGTGCTCAGTACAGTTGCTCTCTAATTCATGCCTTTAACCATCTCTGTTATTCTGACGAAGATCTCTTCTACCACCCTGCTAATGCTTTGTCTCCTGTGCTCAGTTCCATTTTATAACGTAAGCTGTACCCTCTCAGCTCCTCTGAGGGTGATCATTCCACCCAGTGGGTGACTTAAGTAACTCAACATTTTGAGGACCAGTGCAAAACCCCAGTGGACTATAATCACTACTTATATTGTCTTTGTTAAAACAAAGCAGCGAGCAAACCTGGTTTATTCTGCCACCAAGCCTAGGCCGCTCACACCTGAATTCCGAGGAGCGTGTCCACTGGCGTTTGAAATTTGAGCAAAGCAGGGAGTTCTCGGATAATGGGCCACTTCAGTTGCGCCGTGTCAGTCTCTGTTATTCTTTTGAAAAGTGAACCTGATTACCTTAAAAAAGTTGGTCCAGGTCTGGAGACTAGGTAGCAGGAAGAAAATGCCAGCTTTTGTCTAGCGCCTGTGGGTACGAGGGATGGGAAGAAATCAAGACGAGAATATGACACGTTGAGCTCTTGCCCGCATCCTGTTAACTGTTTGGTGTGGCAGGCGCCCTGCACAGTTACGAAGCTGCCGTGTGGTGGAGGAAGTGGGCAGGAATCCTCTTCATAGTAGAATATCTCTTCCCATGCGATAGGGTTCTCGTCCACCCGAAACCTTTGTCATACTGAAGAGTGTCATGTTTAGTGGCTGTCCATCTGTCCAGGAGATCAGAGTGGACCATTTTTCTAAGCTAATTTTCCCATCTCTCTGAGCATTTGCCCAGATGTCCCTCTGTCTGCTTCACACTTAAAGGGCCCCCTCCCCTCGTGTAGACTCTACACCAAAGGCGCGGCTCTTACTTTTGTCTCCCCACAGTCCCTGGTTCCTGCCCCACTTCCCCTGGTGTCCCCCGTCCATCCCCTTCAGCCTATTCTACTTACAGTTCTTCCCACTGAAAGTCACAGACCAATTGGAGGAAAGAGAATGCAGTGATTCATAGAACTGGTAAATCGGAAGGCTTCAGGCGCGGCTGGATCCAGAGGTTCACAAGATAGCATCATGTCACAGACATGTTTACACACCTGCTCCCCCTCTCCCCCTTTCTCTATTTGCTCAGCATTTTCTCTTTATTGCTTTCCATCTGAGGTGAATGCTTTCCAAATGGCAACATCCTTGACCAGCAGCAGCCCCAGGATTGTTTCACCCCAAACTAAAAGCATTTTTGCCAGGAGCTCCAGAAACAGTTCCAGAGAGGACTTGGATTGACCCAGCCTGACTGCCTCCTCATGGGTCCCTCTGGTTCTCTATATAGGCCTTGTTTCCTGACTCCTTCGTCCACCCACAACTCAGTCTCTGTCTCCCGCACCCACTTCTAGAACTCCTTTATGTTCGGGATCTGCTTTAACAAACATGCTTTCAGTGCAAAGAGGTTGAGCAGGATCATATCAAGGGCTGAGCATTCAGGATCTAGGTTGATATGCATTTTCTTTCCCCCATTGATCACAACTCCAGTCTTGGAGCAACGGCCCGTAATGGCATCTGTCCATTGCAGTACCTGCTGTTAGTAAGAATCCTGAGGAAAGACTGAGATTAACCATTATGGTAAAGAAAATTCTTAGGAAAATGTGACCTACATAAAAATTGTTAGAGTGCATTCAGTTTGAACACTAATGATTTTCTTTTGTATTTTATGCTGTGTTTTAAGGATGTGTTGCTTTTAAAAATAGACTGCGGAGAACGGGGAGGGGCTCCAGGGTTCATTTTGTCTGCACTCTTCCTCAGCGGGCCTCCTCTCTGTCTTGGATTCTGTAAAAAGTCTCCAGGATTAGAGATTCTAAAACTTCCTTGATTATATATTCAGCTCTTTAAGCAACCTTTCCCTCTAGGAGGTTATCTATTTTTTATTAAAGTCCCTTGGCTTCAGTCTAAATTTCTTTCCTCTGTCCTATTCAGAAGTTAAATGTTGAATATTTTCTCTATAAAATACTTTAATGTATATGAAAACATTTCCTTGGCCCCTACCTGCGCATCTCTGGCTGTAAAGACTTTTGGCCTGAAGTTCCGTTCAACCAGTATGAAGTGATGATCGCTCCCTTTTTTGCTTGTTTCAGATGTGGCTGCTGAACGGCCCTTTGCCCAGCATTGTACTGTTCTCACGGTTCCCAGAGGTCCTAGCCACTGATGGAATTCCCACCTCAGTTCCCTGACGAGTGCTGATGTGGCTCCTGGGACTGATTTTTTTAATAAAATTTTTATCTAGAATAGTTTTAGATTTAGAGTAAAGCTGCAGAGATAGTACAGAATTCCCCATATCTTGTACCCATTTTCTCCATCTGATGTTCATGACAGCTAACAAGCCAATATTAATACAGTATTACTAACTAAAGTCTATTGTTTATTGGAATTTCCTTAGTGTTTATCTAATGTCCTTTTTCTGTTCCAGGATCATATCTAGGACATCCTAGAGTGTTTGGTCATTGTGCCTCTTTAGGCTTGTCTACACTGTGACAGTTTCCAGACTTCCCTTGTTTTGATGACCTTGACAGTTTAGAGGAGTACTAGTCAGATATTTTGCAGAATGTCCTTCAGTGTGGGATTGTCTAATCTCTTTTCATTGATTAGACTGGGTTTATGGGCTTGGGAAGGAAACCCACAAAAATAAAATGCCATTCTCATCACATCATATCAAGGGTAGTGCCTATCACTGTGACTATCATAATGATGCTCCGGGATTGATTTTTATGCCTCCAATCCTTGTGATCCTCTCCAGACAGTTCCCTCGGAATTCTGATCGACTTTCCACTTTCCCACCACAAATTGCTTTTGTCTGTTTATCTTTCTAGTGACTATTTTTTTAACATGACAAATATATCTATTATAAGCCCAATGTTTGGACAAGTTGAATAGCTGCTAAAACAAATGGTTGTCCACCTTAAACAATTATGCAGTTGATATTGATTATAATCTTGGGGGTCCGAAAGGCTGTGTGGGAGGAGCTGTTTTTTCTGCCCTGAGCCACTAGCGTAGGGCCTGCAACTATTTCTTAGTTACCACAGTGCTAAACAGCCCTTGGTAAGTGTACGCGACCATAGTAATTTCAGACACAGCCATGCTGGGAATAAAAGTGTTACCTGAGTTTTGTTCCCTAAAAATGGCCTCATTTTAACCCATTTTCATTAGGTCCTAA